ATGAGAACACTGGCTCGGGATAACAACATAGGGTGGCAATATATATATATATATATATTTTAGATTAAAGGAAATTAAATGTAACAACTAAATACAATGTATGAACCTTGACTGGATCCAGGATCAGGGAAACAAAAAGCCAGCTATAATTACTGGACAACTGGGAAATTTTATTTTATTTTTTAGCTCCCGCTTATGAATAAGGACATGCAGTATTTCTCTTTATGTGCCTCGCTTATTTCACTTAACGTAATTTTCTCCAAGCTCATCCATGTTGCTGTGAATGGCAGAATTTCATTCCTTTTTATGGCAGAATAGCATTCCATTGTGTATGTATGCCACATTTTCCTTATCCAGTTGTCCATCAATAGACACTTAGGTTGGTTCCATATCTTGGCTATTGTAAACAGAGCTGCAGTAAACATGGGAGTGCAGGTAACCGTTCAACATAATGATTTCCATTCCTTTGGACATATAACCAGCAGTAGGGTTGCTGGATCATATGGCAGTTCTATTATAGTTGTTTGAGAAACCTCCTGTATTAGTCCATTTTTGTTGCTTATAACAAAATATTTGGAACTGCGTAATTTATAAAGAAAACAAAATTTATTGCTTACAGTTTCTAAGGCTGAGAAGTCCAAAGTCCATCTGGTGGTGGCGACAGTGACCCAGGGGTCTCACTGTGCAAGGTGATGGAAGCAGAGAGAGCAATAGGCAGACACTCCTTTTCTTCTAAAGCCCTCAGAACCACACCCCTGACCACCATTTTTAATCCATTCACTATGGCATGGTCCTACAACCCAATCAGCTCTTCAAGGCTGCACCTTTCACTTACCGTAATAGGATTTCCCACCGTCTTAACATTCACAGTGGGGGCTAAGTTTCTAATACATAAAACATGGCGAACACAATTCAAGCTTCAGAGTTTTGGGGGGACATAATTCAATCCACTACATTCCACCCCTGGCCCCCCCCAAACTCATGTCCTTTTCACATGCAAATGCATTCATTTCACCCCCAAAGTCTTAACTTATTTCAATTCAAGAGTCCAAAGTTCAAAATCCCATCTGTGAAATCAATACAAGTTATCTACTTCCAAGATACAATCGTGGGACAAACATAGGGTACATATTCCCATTCCAAAAGGGAGAAACAGGCCAAAAGAAAAGGGGTAACAGGTCCCAAACAAGTCTGAAACCCAGAAGGACATGCATTGAATCTTAAAGCTGGTGATTCTTGTAACTTGACTCCATATTCAACGTTCTGTGCATCCTGGTGCGGGAGTCGGGTCCCCAAGTCCTCAGGCAGCTCCACTCCTATGGCTTTCCTGGTCTCAGGTGATGCTTTAGCTCTCACAGGCTGGTGTTGCACTCTGGTAACTCCACAGGTCTGGGGTCTCCATGGTGGTCCCACTCTCACGGCTCCACTAGACATGGCACTGTTGGGGTTTCTCTGCTGCAACTCTGACCCCACATTTCTGCTTGGCATTGCTCTAGTGAAGGTTGTCTGTGGTGACTCCGCCCCTGCGACAGATCTCTTTCTGGGCCCCCAGACTTTTCCACACATCCTTTGAAATCGGGGTGGAGACTCCCAAGCCTCCACAGCTCTGGCATTCTGTGAGCCTAAAGACTTAACCCCACATGGACGCTGCCAAGGCTTCCTGCTTGTGTCTTCCAAAGCTGTGGGTCCAGCTGCACCTGGGGCCAATTTAGCCATGGCTGGAGCAACCAAAGCAACTGGGGTGCTGGTGCTGGAAGCAGCTTCCCAAGCTGGTCCTGAGCAGTGAGCCCGTGGAGGGAGCCTCAAGCCTGTTCCCCAAGACCATTTCATCTCCCTAGGTCTTTGGGCCTGAAATGGAAGGGTGGGCCCCACAGATTTCTGCAGTGCCTTCAGGGCCCTTTCCCCCTTCCTTTCCTTTGTCCTAATCTTCTTAGCTAATAGTCACTGGGCTGCACCATTGCATGTTCTCTGCTTCTCTACCACATGGCCAGGCTGCAAATTTTCTAAATTTTTACACTCTGCTTCCCTTTTAAATTCTGGCTTTATGTCATGCTTTTGCAGCCATAACTCAGAGTAAGCTGTTACAAGTAGCCATGCAGCTTCCTTAATGCTTTGCTGCTTAGAAATTTCTTCGGCTAAATGCTGTGGTTCACAATTCCTAAGTTCCAACTTCCACAAAGTCCTAGGTCATGGACACAATGCAGCCAAGTTCCTTGCCAGTTCACAGCAAGGGTGATCTTTGTCCCAGTTTCCAGCAAACTTCTGATTTCTGTCTGAGACCTCCTTAGAATGGTCTTTATAGTCCATATTTCTATCAGCATTCTGCTCGCCACCACATAACCAGTCTCTAAGACATTCCAAACTTTCCCTTGTCTCTGTCTTCTTCTGAGTCCTCCAAACTCCTCCAACGCTTGCCTAACCCCCAGTTCCAAAGCCGCTTCCACATTTTCAAATATCTGTTATAAGCAACACCCCACTCACTCCTCGGTACCAATTTTCTGTATTAGTCCGTTTTTGTTGCTTATAACAATAATACTTGGAACTGCATAATTTATAAAGAAAACAAAATTTATTGCTTACAGTTTCTGCGGCTGAGAAGTCCAAAGCCCATCTGGTGGGGGTGACAGTGACCCAGGGGTCTCACATTGCAAGATGATGGAAGCAGAGAGAGCACGTGGTTAGGATTTGATGGGGGAAGATAGTAATAGAAGCAGCCAGCAGGGGGCAGCACGACCCAGAAGCTGCCTGAGACCTCAGCGGAGAGGGGGGGGGTTCCTGCCTCTCCTCCATTCACCAGGCCAGCATGAGGGCCTCTCCAGGCTCTCTGGCCTTTCCTTTATCCCACCCTCTTCTCTCCCAGTCCCTCTTTGCCATTGTTTATGATCTAGAAATGGACATTTAGCTACATATCTCCTGTGGCTACCCCATCCTAGCTGCCACAGCTGGGGCTCCAGGAGAGAGAAGGTTCCTGTGCCCTAGCCAAACTCCCGTGTAGTTCATGTGATGTCCATCCTCACCTGGCTACACTTGCAGGCCTGGGACTCCTTGTAAGCGCTAGCCTGTGGACGAGGTGGCCCTGGCCCTTGTTAAGGCTGACCGGTGTTGCGGAAGGGGAGGGGGGGACACATACACAACAATCACAATTCTTTGAACTTGTTAAGATAGTGAACAGATAGGATGTTGATGGGGGGGAGAAAGGGAGATGGAGAGGGGAAAAGGAATTGGTAAAGGGACATGAAAATCAACTACATTGTATATTGATAAAAAAAGAAAGATTGGTGTCAGGCATCTCTACAGGGTTTTGCCTACATTTGCTTCTGGGGATGCCTGGCTCTGTTGCTTCTTTGTGAAAAGACCTGCAGGCTAGGGCGCCTGAGCTGGGGAGTGGAGGGCAGGCGAGAGCCCCACTATGCTGCTTTCTGTCCTCTGCATTCCCTCAGGTGGAGCTGTGGAAGACCATTGTGTGGCCCCTGCGGGCCTCTCCATCACAGAGGTGGGGTGACAGGTGGCTACCCAAGTATGGAAGGGAGCTCCCAGACTGCTGTCAGCAGGATGCCTCAAGGGCGTGGCTGGAACAAACCATGGCATCCCCCTGTGTCCTCACTCCCTGACCTGAACTAGTCCTTTGTTGCCATTACTTCCTCCAGTCTGGGCCTCAGTTAACCCACAGAGGTGGCAGGGCGTGCTGGGGACTGGAGCGCAGGGAACGAAAGCTGTTGCTCAGCCCCACTATGGAGGGTCAGATTGGGTGCTTGCTTTCCCTCCCGTCCCTTTTGCTTGCTCTGAGAATACGAGGCTAACTCAGCAGACCCAACTGTGAATGCTCAGCCCCCAGCAGGTCCAGGGTCCAGTCCATATGGGCCCTGGGAGACTCTAGCAGGAGGGAGGCCAGCACCCCTCAGCAGGCACCCTTTCTCCCCACGTCGCTCCCTGTGCAATGCTCTCCATGACAGTGTGCTCATAGCTTCAGACTTTGGGACATTAGCAATAACAGTCCAGGAATTTTAAATTTGCATGTCTGTTGATGTACAGGTTGTGGGAGTTGTCTGAACCCTCTAAAAGTAGATGCAAATCTTAATCTGTGCCTTTTTCTTGGGAGACGGTCTAGGCCTTTCATGGGAGATTTAAAATACTCTAACTCGGGCCGGCCCGTGGCTCACTTGGGAGAGTGTGGTGCTGAAAACACCAAGGCCATGGGTTCGGATCCGATATAGTGATGGCCGGTTAGCTCACTGGGTGAGTGTGGTGCTGACATCACCAAGTCAAGGGTTAAGATCCCCTTACCGGTCATCTTTAAAAAAAAAATACTCTGTAACTCTAAAAATGTCAGAACCATGGGTTTAGTACAGCCCTTACTCTCTCCCCTTTTAAAAGCCATCCTGACACCTGCTCTTTGCGTAGACTGTCAGATGAAGGGCTAGGAAGTCTGCAGAGAGGACAGGGAGGGAGTCACTGATTCTTCTATGCTTCTTGGCACAAAATCAGCAAGATGAACCTGATCAGAATTTTTGTTTGGAATGGAAGAATCCAGTGTGTCAGAGCTCAGAAGCCACATAGCCCTTTGGATCCAGGGGTGAGGGTTGGTCAGGGCAGCGGCAGGCAGACCCCAGGGCCTCTGCCCCAGGCTTCCACAGCCTCCCACCTTGCTCTTGCCCCGGCTCATGCCTTCCAGGATGGGACCTCTTTTTGACTGTTTCATTCTCCTGCTATTTAGCTCTCTAGCCTCTTTGATATTCCATCACTACCTCATTATACAGGAGAATGAACTAAGTAGAGAAGGAAAAGCACCTTGCCCAGGATCACACAGAAGCAGCATAAGAATGAGACCCAGGACTCTACACACTGGCCGACGCTTTTCCCACAGCCCAACAGAGGCCCTGGGCTCATCAGCTGGACGTGCAATGTGCTTACAAAGGAACAAGCCAGACTTCCGTACAGCTGAGAAAAGTCCTCTTGCTGAACAAGCATATATCATTTGAAGCTGCCTTGCAGTGGTTTATTATGGCATCTGAGGAAATACTGGCTTAAATGGAGCTGCTTCCCAAGCCCTTTGCCACAACCTTCTCCTGGTTGGGAATGTGAGACTGAAAGTGATCCTGAGGACTGGCACACCATGCCACCTCCCTATTGGGCTCACAGCAGTACCTGCCAGCCCTGCTGGGACTCCTGGACCCTCTGCCTCAATCACACAAAGCTGGCTCTGGCCTCTCAGAGGCTGTAGAATTGTTGTCTGTGTTGTACTCTGCCCCCAGCCAGGGGACGAGCCCCAGTGGACAGTGGGACAGTGGGAATCAGCCAAGAGCAGGCAGAGCAGGGACAGCCTGGGGAGAGCATTTGTTTGCTTTATTGAATGTCAGCAGGGGCACGGCAGCACTGCCCAGGCAGCCAGAGGAGGAAAAAGCTGGCAGGGGGTAGAGGAGTAGGGGGCAGGGAGATGCCCTCCCTCATTTCCAGTCCTTGAAGAATTGCTTGAAGATGGGACTCTCACGGCCCTGGGGCAGAATCTCCACCTGCAGTGACAGTGGGGGAGAAGTCTGGTTCATACGATTGCCACCTTTGCCTCTGCCAGGGGCGACAGGGAGGGCTGGAACCATGAGACATGGAAGAGGGTTCTGGGGACTCAGGCTGAGAAAACGGATTGCTTCAAGGACATCTGATAGATGCCACCAATTACAGATGAGCCTTATCAGCTCCCCTTGGAATAACTTGCGGAGCCTGCATGCAGGGGGGCTAGCAGGCTGGTGCCAGCCAGGGACAATGGCCCAGAGGAGGAGCACAGCTGTGCAAAGGCATACCCAGTTCTCCATGCTCCCAGGGAAGTGCCACCTGACCTCCTCTTTGAAAACAATATGAATTTTTAAATTTCAAAGAATTGAGAAGGGCTTTCCGCTGGATGGGTCTGAAAGAAGGCCTGATTGTTCCTGATTGTGCCCAGGGCTTTCCTATCCCTCTTGTCCAGTCTGAGGGGTGGGAGGCTGCAGGAAGAGCCCAGGAGTAGGGTTAGGGGCACGGGGTGTCTGCTCACCTGAGTGTTCGGGGCGTACCGCATGCGGGAGATGAAGTCCTCGGCCACTTGGAGGGCCGCCTGACGCTCCTTCTCGTTAGCCTTTCGCCCTGGACCACAGGAACATGGAAACGGAGATTTTTAAAAAGAACAGGGACCCTCTCTAACACCCATTCCATTTTTGTCAAAGAAATTTAAGGGAATCCATGGAATAGCTGGCATTTTTTAAAATAATGGACCAGGAGGTCCCAAGAATGCTGAGAGGCTCTTTGAAGGTATGAAGTCAGCCTTTTAAGACTCACTGAACTGGCATCTCCAAGCTGGATGAAAGCGACACTTCTGCCCAGTCTGAGCCTCAAAACCTTCTGCTCTGACCCGGGCCCAGGGATACATCAGGGAGGAGAAAGGGTGCTCTCCCTGGAGTAAATCTTTAAGGCTAGGGACCCCTCCCCCCAAAAACCCCTCACTTCTTGAGTCTGTCAACTATACTATTATCAAGCATTTTTTGTAAAACTAAATAGAACGCAGGGTGCAATTTATTTCTTTTTATTTTTTTTTTGGGGGGGGGTGCAGTTTATCATGGAGGCGACCTTACCCCACATTGTAGCCTACATGGGCCTAATGGTTGTGCCAGCCAAGCACTTACACAGATAAAGACCACATCATTAACCCACTTTGAGCCATCCCTTGAACGCAAACTGGGCTCCAGTTTGGAGCATTTTTCTGAAGAAACAACACTGTGAAGGGCAGCTGGCTCTCCAGCTGGGCTACAAAACCCCGTGAGCTACAGCGTGCGACATGACTCTGCCGTCTCCGCCCTCTGTGGTCGGGCTGGTGGCACCCACCCTGTGGACTTACCCTCCCCATGAGCTAACCCTCTTCCTGGCCTCCCACGTTCCCTGGTTCTGCTCTGGTTTCTCTTTTCATATAGGTTCGGTTCCTTGCTTGGGATTACACGAAGTGTGGAAAAGTAGAATTAAAAGATAATATGGTTAGCTCACTTGCAAAAAAAAGGGACGAAAGCTAATACGAATCCTTTCGTGAACTTTTGACATACCCTCATATATACTTTTGTGGGCCTCTGGGAACCCCCTCTATGCCCGGCATCGGTATGTACCCTCCAGCAGGAGGGAAAGGCAGCCCCAGGAGCACAAGCCTCTCCCTTTCCATTCTTTTTTTTTTTTGTCTTTTGTCTTTTTTCCGTGTCCGGCAACGGATCGCAACCCTCAGTGTCGCCCCCGCACCGGACCGGGGACCGGCAACGGGATTGCAACCCTCGGTGTTGCCCCCGCACCGGACCGGGGACCGGCAACGGGATTGCAACCCTCGGTGTTGCCCCCGCACCTCGCTCAGCCAGTGAGCGGGAACCGGTCTGCATGTGGGATCCGAACCCTCGGGCGGGAGCGCCGCCGCGCTTCCCAAGTGGCGCACTATCCAGTGCACCACTGGGCCGGCCCATCCCTTTCCATTCTTTATCCCCAGAAGCCTGCCAACGCTGTGAGCTGCTCCAGGCCCCTTCTTGTCGCCGGTCTCTGCTGCTTTTAGGAGGCCATAGTACGAGTTGCCTAGTAGCAGCCACCTGCAGACACCTAGCTACTTCCCTGTCTTCCTGACCAGGCTGGGAGCTGGTAGTTTCTCAGCCTTGGTTGACTCCACAACTATTTATTGAGCAAATGCTATTTGTCAAGACCCTACAGACAAATATAGTTCCTGCTTTTGAGAAGCTTATAATCTTCTCAGGGAGGAAAGGCAGCCAGGTTCCCAGGATCACAGGACTCAGAACATTGTTTCAACATTTTCAATTAGTCCGACCAACCCGAACAGGCTCCTACACAATAGTATTTCTATTTCCAGCCAATATAGTCTCTTGGAAAAACAAGTTCTACAAGTTCACCACCCACTGCATAAAATGGTATCTAATTTATCTAAAATTTAGCTCTGTCACACCTGCAGGCAGAATTCCAGAATCCCACGATCAGCATTCCCAGCAACCCTGAGAGCCTAGGAATGGTCTAGGATAGTTGTTCTCAAAGTGTGGTCCCTGGAACCAGAGGCATAGGCACCCCCTAGGAACTTGTTAGAAATGCACATCCTCGGGCCCCACCCCAGACCAGGCAAATGAGACTCTCTGGGGGCAGGACCCAACAATCTGCACAGGCCTTGCGATAATTCTGAGGCTGGCTGCAAGTTCCAGAACCACTGCGTAGATTTAGCAGAAACAAGCACGCAGGTTCCCTGAGGCTGTCTTTTGTAAGCAGCAGGGCAGGCAGAGCCCTGCTGGGTCAGAGCAGCTTCAGGGGTCTCCAGCTGGTGTGGAGGAGTCCTCGTACCCTTCCAGATGTAGATCTTGCCACAGGACCCGTTGTCCAGCACAAAGCAGTCATCAGATATCAGCAGGTTGAGGGCAAAGGGGCTGGAGTCGGCCACCTTAGTCAGGTTCATCTGTCCAGTGGCATCGGAGACCTGGGAGACAAAGGGCAGTGCCAGATCTCCCCCTCCTCTTTAACACACCAGCCTTCACCTGCCTTGAGCCCAAGCAGCAGGCCACCTCCTCCTCGTCCTCGTCTTCCTCCCACTCTGCCTCTCCTCTGCAGCCTGCACTGCCCCGCCCCCACCCCAGGCCCTGAGGAGCAGACAGGAGAAGAAAGCTCTGGAAAGCAAATCCCAGGCAGCCCCCACCCCCTCCCATCACCCTCAGTTACTGCAGCACGGAGGCTCGGGTCCATCTGGGAATTAGAGGGATTCCAAATTACAAATAAATGCACAGAACTGAGAAAGTAAAGCCCAGCACTGGCTCCAGACCTTCATCAAGAAGGAGCATGTATCTCCCTGGGAGGACCTTCCATCCCACTTCCCATGCTCCTCTCACTCCAAGCCCACCTTCCCACTGCCTTCTCCTCCCGGTCCAGCCCCACAGGACCCAGCTGCTGTGCAGGCTCCCACCCCCGCCTGGCGCCAGGGCAGGCCTGGAGTGCCCACCTTATACAGAGCCGCAGCCTGGGCATTTGTCTGGTCAGCTGTGACATCTTCCTCGGGGTTGCCCTCCTTCAGAGCAGGCTTGGGGCCCAGGACCTGCAGGGCCAGGGCAGGCCAGGTTAACAGGGATTCCTGCCCCAGAGCTTCCCAACCCACCATGCCCAAGGCCACAGCCACCAGGGCAAACTGTGACCTGCACTAGGGCACCTGACAGAGGAGAGTGAGGGCTGGGGCCAGCCCACCCCACCCGCCAGGCTGCTCATCCTCCAAGACAAGCAGCCACCCAGAGGATGCACCTTACTCTTGATCTCACAAGGGCACCCTGTGAGCTAGCCACGGCCCTGAGGACTGCCTCAAACGTCCTCTGCCACCCTCCACCGGCCACCCTCGTACCCCCCAGCTCATCACCACCTGTCTTGGCCACTTCCAAGCAAAGGCTCCCAGCCTCCCACCCCAATGTCCCCCACCTGGATCATCTCAGCAGGCTCCTCTCCATCAGTGACAATCTCCACCTGGGCCTTGCCCTGTCGCTCACTGTCCCGGATGGCCAGGGCCAGGTCCCTCGCCTTATTGCGCTCCAGGATGTTGGACTTTCCACCACACCAGGTGAAGATGCTCTGAAGGGAAGTAGGGAAGCCCGTCAGAGCCCACCGCCCCATCTTTCCTCTCTCCTCTCTGAAGAACTGTCCCCTGAGGCAGGGGCAGACCTCAGAGGCCTCTCTGAGAATGGCAGTGACAACAGTCTGCAAGAGTGTCTCTGCCCACCGCCGTCTCTCTTCCTGGTTTACTTTTCTCCACCTCGCTTATCACCATGTATCTAAACGTCTTTATCTTGTTTAGAGCCTATCTGCCCTGACTGGAGAACGGCGTCATTAGGCCATGGGTGTTTTGTTTTGCTCTGCTCACTGCTGCATGCCCCTTGCTAAAACAGAGCCCGGCATGTGTTTAAGCACAAGATACATATGCGTGTGCACTCAGTGAATCAATGATTGGACGCCATCCTTGAGCTCAGCATCTCACTCCTACCCGCACCCCTGCAGGGCAGAGCCCTCACCTCCCTCATGAACAGGTAATGGCCAGGTCTGTTCACAGGTCCCCCTGTCTCATCTCACCACTTCTAGTCCTCCCTGCAAACAGCTCCTGGGTTGATCTTCCTTCCCCAAATCTTCAGCCCAGACACTCAACCTCCTCCTGACCTGGGTCTCACCTTCCTTAGCAATTTTCCCTCCCACTGATCCCGGCCCCACCCCAGGGCCCAGTCAAACTAGACTCTTCCCTGCTCTCTACATGCTTTTCTGTGTCCTCCCACCTGGGTGCCTCAGCTCACCTGTTCTCTTTGCCTGGAATGGCTTTTCCCCTCCATGAAGGTCTAGTCAAATGGCACCTTCCTGGGACAACTGGCTTTGGCTCAGACTAGGGGGCCCCTCCCTGCCTCAAGCTTCCCCAGCACGTGGCCGCTGCCCCTTTTAGAACCCTCATCATGTCTGGCCACAGGTTATGACAAGTGACATGCCCATCTTGGCTGCCTCACCAGGGCAAACTTTTATGGTCCCCATGCTGGCCCAGAGAGAGCATCACATAGTCACTGAAGGAATGGATAGGTGAATAAGTTAGTGAACGATCTGGCAGGCAGCTAACTCAGAGCTACACAGGCTTCCGAGAGAAGGAGTGGGTGAGCTCCAAAGTCTTAAAAGCAATGGCTAGACACCACAGGGAGGCTGATTTCTGTCCTTACAAATGTAGGGATGTTTCTAATGGCTGGAGCTCTGACTTGGAATGGGCTTACAGCTTTTCAGCTTCTCTTCCTCTTTTCTGGCTTTCTGGTCCCCTGCCCTCTGGAAGGATGGTCCCACTAGAGTGCTCAGTCTGGCTCGGTCCACCCACCTGGCCCAGGTCCAGAATGAAGCAGTCCCCAGTGTTGAAGCTGTCCCAGCTCAGCGCCCGCTCAGTGGCGCGGATGTTCTTCTTTCCCTTCACCTGGTAAAGTTTCTTGATGGCAGCTGGGGTGGTTCCCGGGGAGGCCTTGTGAAATGCTGACTCCACACCACCTTCCTGCAGCCCAGACACCCGCTTCAGTAGACTGACAGGAGACCTGGAGCCCTCTGTACCCCAGCCCACTGGGCCACAGGCATAAAGGTGGGGACCCAGTGCTGATAGAGCCCAGGCCTTCTGCAGGGTGAGAACAAGCTGGAAGGGGGGCTGTCTATGAGAGAAGCTGTAGGGTGGGGGTGCCAGGGGCTGGGCTCTCACCTGGTACTTGAGGCCCTGTGGGAAGTAGCTCATGAAAAGGTCGGACTCATTGCCCTGTACCTCACGGTGCTGCACAGGCCGCTCCCCCAGCAGCGTGTTGAGGTGCACGGCCAGCACAGCGCAGGCCCCCTGCTCATCCCGAGATGACTGCTGGCCTGGGACAGGTGAGGGAGTGGGGCGAGGCCCTTGAGACCCATGCCAGCCCCAGTCCCTGCCCAAGCCAGCCCCCTCCACCCATTGCAGCCCCCTTACCTATCCACAGATGCAGGTGGGAGAGCTCTTCTGGGCCATTGTGCAGCACCAGATAGGAGTCCCCGGAGAAGAAGACGCCCTGGTTCTCACGGACTATGGGCACTGGCTTCAACTTCTCCACCCGCCACACATGGAGGCCGGGATCATTCACTGAGGCTGGGAATGGAGAGCCACTGGGGGAAGGAAGAGGGTTGATGGTGGCCAGGGCCCATACGGAGTGTGCACAAGAGCAGAGACCCAGGCAGGCCTGGGGACTGGAGTCTGGGATGAGGAAATGGGTAAGGAGGGGCAGCCCTTGGAAGTGAAGCAGGGGTAACAGGGAATGGGGCACACAGCCTACCTCTGGGGGATGGATGTGTACATGTTGTTTCCAGATCTGGAAAGACAGAAGAAGCCATTATTATTACTGATTAATTGAAAATTGCTCTAGCATCAATAACTGAGGTCAACTAAATTCTCAAGGCCCTGGCAGGTCAGGTATGTGGCAGTAGTCACACCCCCCACATCCTGGAACATTGCTAAACAGTTTACTTTAGACATATAGTCCAAACATGGTGTCAGATCATGGAGCTATAAATTAACCTAAAGAATGTTGAAATGGACGATGTGACCCTTACTTATGAATTTCACATTTGTTTGAAGAATAAGATGTAACCATTAACCAATCACTAACTCATGTCATGCTAGACAACCAATGTAAAGCCTGATTAAAGGAGTTGTTCTTGCCACTCCCCTTTTGCCTTCCCTTTTTACGATTATAAAAATACTGAAGCCCTGTTTGTACCTTGGAGCACTTCCCAAGGTAATTTGGAGGTGTCCTTCCAGACTGCAGTCACTCATATTGGCTCAAATAAACTCTTTGTTGTTTAAGCTGTGCCTCAGTTTCCTTCCTCAGGTTGACATCACAAATGTCATAACAACCACCTCTCACATTGGTCTGGGGAGGGATCCTCCAGGTGGTCAAGGACTTGCATATTTATCAACTACTTCATCTCAAGAAACCCGAGAGATTATCCCTAGTTCCATTATGCAGCCAAAGAAAATGAGGCTCAGAGAGGCTAAGTCCAGCATCACGCAGCTAGTGAACGGCTAGTGGAAACCAGGTCTCTGACCCCTGGGCTGATGTCTTCTCCCTGCTGTGACCTTTCAGCCACATCTGTCTTCTGCTTCAGACCTGCTTCTAATTCTGGGCATTACACAAGGCTGAGATGCAGCTATCTAAGCAATAACTGGTTATTCTAAAATCAATGACTCAAACTTTCACCATAAAAGAAAAAACAAAAGGAAAAGCAAATGAAACCCCAAATAATCAGAAAATAATAAAAAAAGGAGCGGAAAGTAATAAATAGAAAACAAAAGCAATAGAGAACTCAGTGAAGTAAAAGAAAAAACAAAAGGAAAAGCAAATGAAACCCCAAATAATCAGAAAATAATAAAAAAAAAGAGCAGAAAGTAATAAATAGAAAACAAAAGCAATAGAGAACTCAGTGAAGCTTTTTTTTTTTTTTTTAAAAGATGACCGGTAAGGGGATCTTAACCCTTGGCTTGGTGTTGTCAGCACCACGCTCAGCCAGTGAGCAAACCGGCCATCCCTATATGGGATCCGAACCTGTGGCCTTGGCGTTATCAGCACCGCACTCTACCGAGTGAGCCACAGGCCGGCCCAGTGAAGCTTTTTTTAAAAACTCAGGAACCTGTGGCCTTGGTGTTATCAGCACCGCACTCTACCGAGTGAGCCACAGGCCGGCCCAGTGAAGCTTTCTTTAAAAACTCAATAAAATTGATAAATCTTTAGACAAACTGACTAAGAGAAAAAGAAAACACAAATTTTCAATATAGCAACGAGAGAGGTAACATTACTATAGATTCTATAGCTATTAAAAGCTAGTACAAAAACTTTATGCCAATATATTCAACAACTCATATGAAATGGCAAATTCCCTGAAAGGTACAAATTTATGAATGTTCACTAAAGAAATAGATTATCTTAACAGAGATAATATCCATTTAAAAAATTAAATTTGTAGTAAAAAACATTTCCACACACACACACACAAAACTCAAGCACAGATGACTTCATTGGTAAATTCTACCAAAAATTTAAGAAAGACTGGGCCGGCCTGTGGCTCACTCGGTAGAGTGCGGTGCTGATAACACCAAGGCCACGGGTTCGGATCCCATATAGGGATGGCCGGTTCGCTCACTGGGTGAGCGTGGTGCTGACAACACCAAGTCGAGGGTTAAGATCCCCTTACCGGTCATCTTTAAAAAAAAAAAAAAAAAAATTTAAGAAAGACATAATACCAATTCTACACAAACTCTTTCAGACAATAGAAGGTGAGGGAACCCTTTCCAATTCATCCTATGCAGCCAACATTCTCCTGATTGCAAAACCAGATAAATATACTGAAGGAAAAGAAAATTACAGGGCTGGCTGATTAGCTCTGTTGGTGCTGATAACACCAAGGTCCAGGATTCAATCCCTGTACTGGCCAGCTGTTAAAAAAGAAAGAAAATTACAGACCAATATCCCTCATGAACGTAGACATAAACATATTAACAAAATTTCAGCAAATGGAATTGAATAATATTATGAAAAGGATAAACCATGATGACCAAACAAGGTTTATCCCAGGAATGCAAGGCTGGTTTAACAACAGAAAATCAATCAATGTTATCCATCCTATTAACAAACATTTGTGTGTATATATGTGTGTGTGTAAAATCACCTCAATAAATGCATAAAAAGCATTTGGCAAAATTCTACCTTCATTCCTAATTTTAAAAAAATAAAAAACTTTCAACAAACTTGGAATAGAAGGAAATTTCCTTAACCTGATAAAAAGCATTGATAAACAAACAAACAAAAATACAAAACTTCAGCTAACATTATACTTAATGGCTTCTTTAATTCTAAACTCTCTCCCTGGGGAACTTCCCCCATTTCTGGGCATCAGCTATCACTTCTGTATGCCCAGTTCCCCTCAAATGCCAGTATGATGAATATCATGTTTATTTTGTAGGTCAGTGGAGGCAAACTTTTTTGATCGAAAGTTATTCAGGGGGAAAATATGCTAAAGGCAAACATTAAGAAATATATATTATCTTTAAATTTTTTCAGAAAATGCAGTAGCTACAGCTTCACTCACTGTCTCTTTCATATGTTCCATAACTAGAGGATTTCTCTTTTTGACTTCATATGCAGAGACCACAAACCAGCAAGCACTTCAATGCAATGCATGCTGTGCATTCATCCAAACAGTGGTTTTGTAAAGTGAGCTCCGGTGGTGCAGGATAAGGGCTTGGGGACTTTGAGGGTGGAAATACAAATAGGCACCATCAGGAGATTCTTAGGGGCTGGGCAGCCAAGGGGAGAAGAACAATCTTTGGGGGGCAGATAGAAGATCAGACGTTGTTGAGTCTGAGTAGGAAACAAAGAGCTGTGGTAATGAATGTGAAATGCCATGTGAAATATGACTTTCCTTTTCCATTCCCGGCCTACAAAATAGTGGAAGGCATTTTTGGCATCACACTTTCCGAAGCAGGGAGGCAGTGAAGGGAGGTTTGGGGGCAGGAAACTTTAACATTTCTCCATCCCACAGAGGATCACATGCTGTGCCCACATCCCCTGCAGCAGGCAGCGCAGGCTGTGACTCAGGTTTGAAGTGGTGACATGGCTACTCCAAGCTCAAGCTGGTTGGGAGGGCTCGGGAATGAGAGAGGGAGTGAGCAATCATCAGCTTTCCTATTTTTCATTCTGTGTTACTGAAACAAGAGCTCGGGCCATAACTCAAAACCAGGAAATCCACATGCCAAGCCCACAGCCCCTGAGAGCCACTGTGGGGTTTTAACGAAGGGGTTTGGCTGCCTGCTCCTTCCTCACGCTGGCTGCCTGTTACAATTACCTTGGGACCTTACAAAAATGTAGGTACTGACAAAGATTCTTTGCTTGGCCAAACTATAGTCAGGCTTCTGAAACTTCTCCTGGGCCTATCTGTGCACTTCCTTGTAAAATCCAGTTTTTAAAAAGTACGCTGCAGGGCCAGCCCATGGCTCACTTGGGAGAGCGCGGTGCTGACAACACCAAGTCAAGGGTTAAAATCCCCTTACCCGTCATCTTTAAAAAAAAAAAAAAAAAAAAGTATACTGCTAAATCAGATTAGCCAGAACCCCTCATCCCCAACATCTGATCAGATTCCTCATTAACACCATCCACTGGGTGATGTCTGATCACCCTGGACTGTCTTCAGCAAGAACCCTGTTAGGTCAGTTTAGCCAGAATCCCCCTTACCCCTGATGTTTCCTCTCAATAATTTTCCATCCACTGACCCCCACCCACCCAGCTCCTTGGCTATAAATTCCCCCTTGCCCATGCTATTTTCGGAGTTTAGCCCAAACTCTCTCCCCACTGCAAAACCCCATTGCTATGATCCCTATACCTATCACAGTGTTCCTGAATAAAGTCTTCCTTACTGTGCTTTAACAAGTAACACTGAATAATTTTTTCTTTTTTCTTTTTAAAGATGACCGGTAAGGGGATCTTAACCCTCGACTTGGTGTTGTCAGCACAACGCTCAGCCAGTGAGCCAACCGGCCATCCATATATGGGATCTGAACCCAGGGCCTTGGTGTTATCAGCACCACTCTCCCGAGTGAGCCACGGGCCGGCCCTGAATAATTTTTTCTTTAACAGTGTCCAACACCCAGACCCAGAGATACCGATTCTACAGGTCAGCAGTGGAGCCTGAGCATCCATATTTTGAACATGTGTTTGAAGCGATCCTGGTACTGACAGTGAATTCTGTCCAGAACACATCTCATGTTTGCCTGCACATTAGAGTCTTTTGGGGGCTTTAAAAAAGTCTCAATGCCTAGGTCCTATACTGGACCAGTTAAAATCAGACTCTGGATGGAGCCCGAATATCAGTGTTTGAGAAGCTCCAGGTCAGGGCTGAAGCTCCTGCTGCCCCATCAGATCCCTGTTCCTCAGGCTCTCCTGAGGAAGGGTCCACCCTGATATCTGGCCTTTCATGCTTTTCTCACCATTCCAGCCCTTCTGCCAAGCCCAGAGCTCCTCGAGCTTCCTCAGTGCCCAGCTCCACCCTCAAGTCCATCAATCCCCCTCCCCCCAACAACCCTTCAGGCCCATATCAAGCCCCAGCTGTCAGAGGAATCTTGTAGGACATAAGGTGGCCTCGGCCCTCTCACCTGGGGGCTGTATTTTGCCTCTCTGAATCTAGCTGAAACCTCGCCCCGTGCCTGGTACCCTGCAGGTGCTCCAATTATCAGACTAGATGGATCCTAAGGGACAGCTCAGGATTTCACCAGGCTGGAGTGGCCACAGAGGCAGAAAGCAAGGGCTAGGGGGTCTCATCAGACTGTCATGGGCTGGGGGCTGGCAGTGGGGGGAGGATGTGTGCCCTATTGCCTGTCCCATGGCTCTGACTTAGCCTGTCTTTGAGGACACACAGGGGGATCTGGGGTGAGGGGTAACTGTTACGCACATCTTTAAGGAAACGTGTGACAGTCATCAGAGTAACACAAGTGCTGCCCGGTACCAGTGTTATCTCTGCCCTTCTCCGACCCTGATTCCATTGACCCTCAACTGGTCCCTTCACCTCACGGTCCCTGTTTGCCCCTTGGTGTGAAATGAAATAGCACCTCCCCTTATCCTGGAGAAGGGGTGGAGAAGTAGGTGTCAACCATGGGCTTTCTCAGAGCTGGGTCCTCATTTGGGGACTCTGGACCAGTACACTTTCCCCTGACACCAAATAGGTTCCTTCCCAACACTCCACCTTCACCTCCTTCCCCCACCTTACCCCAGGCAGACCAGCCAGACCCTCAGCTGGAGCCTTTTTGAGTTTGCAAAATAATCAAATGTGTATGAATTCAAATGGCTAGGCCTTTGGTTAGAGTGCGGTGTTATAACACCAAGGTCAAAGGTTCAGATCCCCCTACCAGCCAGCTGCCAAAAAAAATTCAAATCAAATGACTAGGCCTGCCCTTCCCCGTCCCCAAACCACT